GCGCAAGAACCCTCAGAGCGTCCACACTGCGTGCCCGCTGTTTCGCAAGAAGATTTACAGTACAGCGTCGGAAGACAGGGTGTCTTGAGCAAGAGCTATGCTCTTTTCTAACACATTTAAACCCTCTTGTGCAAGAGGGAAGTGTGGATGCGTGGCAAGGGCTTTTTGCACAAGAAAGCCCTATTGCTAAAATGGCCATCAGAGTTTTCTTCCACAAGAGAGCGTCCACACTGCCATGGATGCTTTTGCACAAAAGCACATGGCAGTGTGGACGTGTGCTTGTGCAAAAGTTCTTGCACAAGAACCCACCAGTGTAGACATAGCCCTAGTGAATATCACTAAAAATCCTTATTTAATTACCCACATATGGCCATATTCTTGTTCTAAGAATATATTTTACCACCATCTTGGTGTAACTGCTACTCCCAGTCTGCCACTACTGATTCTTACTGATTCTGTGTCATGTCTTGCAAGCAAATCTAAAATAGTTCTTTCACAACATAAATTGGTCACTACATTTATTAAATCTCCCACCTGTATTTAAAATTTGCTCTCTTATGATCAAAAGTTAGCTGCTAATTTTGGCAAAAGCTGATATCTTCTCTATAGTTAGCCCTCTTGCCAGAAATGAATAAATCAGCATTTGTTCAACAGGAATTTCACAAAAACTCTGTCACCTAATTTATCCTTTGTTCAATGACATTGATTCTCAACAGGGATGAATTTTGCCATTGCTATGTAGAAGACTGCAGGGAGATGGAGCAGCACTTTGGACAATAAATACATATCACATAAAATTATTTCATGCCATGTTACAGCTGCAATGAGCAGAGAGGCTGAAACTAGATGTCCTTAGTATAGAATCTAAAGTACAGAATTTTCATTGTTAGTAAACAAATTATTTAAATGGTAGGAGGGAGAGATTTGGGAAACTTACACATTTCCCCCTGTAGTTGGTCTGCAAAGGAATGACATACATTTTAGTAATGGAAGAGTTTTTCTCCTATTTTGTAAACAAATAATTACAATGATCATGTCAGTTAGGAAGGATATAAGATATAACAAGATTGCAGAATTCTGGGTAATGAGGAGTTATCTCCTACTCAGTATCATTTTACAGTTTTCAAAAGTAAAAATAAAGAAGGGTTGAAAGAAACTTGGCATTGGATTCAACTGTCAAGTCAGTTTGTAGTCTCCAGCTCTTTCTGATTCTTAACTTGCTGAACACTCCAGTATGTTCAGCTTTTAAAACTCTTTGCTACACCTGGAACTGATAATCTGGCACACTTCTTTGTAACAGATGCTGACTATGCTACAATGAATTATATCCTCATGGAGTCTAGGAAGAAGGGAATGAGTGTTCACGTTAATATTCCAACTGTCTTTGTATCCAGAAGGTAGATGCCTTTTTCCTGAAGAACGCTGGTCACTGAGAGTTCATAGCCCTATTGCTGCTCTCATTACATTGAATACTGAGTCAGCATCAGTCTCTGGAGCCTCCTCTATATATCATTCCTGACTGCAAACTCAACATGCCTAGAAGCAGGATCCCTCTTCACAATTACTTTTCTTGAGAACTATGGAAATATCTTTGATCTAATGAGAAATGGGGCTTTCTCAGTGCTTGATACTCTAGAATGAAATGCGAAAATTCTTCAGGCAAGTGAAAAAGATGAAGTAGCAAGATAAATTAGCTCAGTAAAATAGGATATGCATTTCTGAAAGAGAAAAAAATATGAGAAGCACTGCTTAGAAAACACTGCGAACTTACCATAGTCCTTGCGGGATTGGTCTGCAACAAATTAAATCAGTTCACAATGAGAAAATTTTCAATGATAATTGGCTGATTGAATTGTTAACTTAATGAATGGCATGAATCAGCCTTATTTAATGAGCCACATATGATAGAGTATATAATCTTTAATACTCATGTTATGTTATACATATACAACTACTATTTCACTCCCTTAGTCTCACTGTAGGTAGGTCTAGACTGCAGTGCTTTTTCAGGATACCAGAAGTATCCCAAAATAATAATGACACATCTTTTAAAATGTTTGCTATTTCCCAAAATAGCAGGTGCTCTATTACATCTTTGCATCTCTGTAACCCAAGGTTTAAGGGATTTTTTGAAATAGTGCCTTATTTTGAAATTTGGAATTGTGTAGACAGCACCAAATTTAAAAATAAATTCTTTCAATTTAGACTTGGAATAAGCTATGCAATTTGCATATTCCAACAGAAGGGTGCTCTCTAGATGCACCCTATGCCTAGTAACATCAAGCAAAATTCACTTAATTTTTCACAGTGGAAGATCACTATTTTCATAATATCTCCATTTAGGTTCATGCTGTATTTGAAATCCAGCTCTTCTCATATCAAGTGTTAACCAATGTTAGGTGAAATCTGTCATTCATATCATCTTTCTGGGAATGAATGATAAAACATTTGTTCAAGTAGGTATATCCAAAATATGCCTCCATCTCCCAAATCCTGTAACTTAATCCTTCTCTGACTTCATTGGAATTCTAAACAAGATGATTTTTTACCAGTGCAATATAATGGATCACAATGAGAGAGTTAGGCTCTTGTCCACAAATATACAGTACACATAGTTCCATCGGATGTTCCATTTAATACTGGCCTGATTGAAAGTCTACATAAATCAGTACTAACTTACCTCTTTCCTTCTGCATTTTGTCTGCAATGGAAAGATACAGCATTGAACAAATAGATAGTTTTCCCTTTTCTGCAAACAAGCGTTCAGTCTGATGGGCAACTTGGCAAAAGTAATGGTTAGATGTGCTCTTGAAGAAGAGATCACTAAAAGCTCATGACAGTGATAATTCACCTTGGCACTCCATAAAATTCTGAATTGAATTCAAGATCAAGGCTTATCTTTAAGAAAGTTTTTTACGTATACAGAAACTGATAAAAACCACTTTTGTCCATCTTACTACATTATCTTACTGCAAGATTTCTCTTGAGGGCTTTCAGATGAGGTCAACCACACTTGCTGGACTTTTGAGAGCAGCACATGAGGCTTCCCAGTAGCTGTAAAAAGACTGGGAAGCTACTTTAGAAGCAGGCAAGTAGGCCTCCGATCTCACTCGTTCCAGAAAAAAATGTAAACTTTCTCATAGCCACAACATAGAGAAAGGAAAAGCAGAGGAGAAAAAGACATGCAAACAATTATTTTTTTCAGAAAAGGAAGAGTTAGATTTAAGTAGACAGCTTTTGTCAATAGCTTTGATTGTGAATAGGCAGCATGTTTAAAACAAATAAGAGGAAATACTTTTCACTCAAGACACAGTCAGCCCATGGAGCTTATTTCTAGGGGACATTGTGAAGACCAAAAGTACAAGCGAGTTACAAATATTAGCTCAGTTCATTGAGGACAGGTCCATGAATGGCAAACAGCCAACATAGTCAGATATGCAACCTGTGCTCGGGATGTCCATAATCCTCTGACTGCCAGAAGCTGGGACTGGACAATAGGGGATGTTGATAAATTGACATGTTCTATTCATTCACTTTGGCATGGGCCACCATAGGAAGACATAACAATGAGTTAGATGGACCGCTATCCTGATACAATATGGCTGTTTTTGTTCTTAATGTTTTTTAAGGAGTTTAGTGTCAATAAAGACTAAATAAAACCTATATTTGCTGCACATAATCCAATGGGCAATTCATGTGGGAAAAATAAGCATTCATCCAACTAAACATTTGCAAAATCTGAGCCTTACAGTGAAAGGGTTTTGGATTTTGATTTTTTGAGTTTCAGTTTCTACTGCCTAGTGGATTAGTGAGTGACCAGCATGGAGAATTGAAATGGTATTTGTTTTGGTTTTTCAATAAACCAAATGGAAAATGAAAACACAATTTGAGTGCACCTTCTCGACAATGAGGTCAAACTCACCAATCATATTCTGGAATCGGCCTGCAAAAGATTAAATATGATCACTATACTTAGTCCATGTTAAAAATCACTAATTGTACTTTAAACATCTTTAACACCACAAAGTAGCCCTCTTCAATGACATGGAGAATATATAGATTATGTACTTTTGCTGTCAGTAAATTTGACCATCATTGTGTTCTCTCGGCCGTTGTCAGATAGCTTCTTCATTGTTTCTTTCAAGGACAGTTAACCTTTTTCACTTGCAGTGTAAGAGGTTACTGTTTTCATAGGTATGTGTAAAAGGTTAAATGAATTAACTTTTGTTCTAACAGATACCTAATTTTTCCTGGTGTCACAGCACCAATTTCATTGCAGTTATTCATCAGTATTGAACTATTACAAACATGAGCAATTCACTGTTCAACTAAATTCCTTGCAATTCCATTACATGTACCAATCCCTGCTTGTATGGGAGACTGTATAAATTAATAAAACTTAATATTGCAATGCATAGTTTACCTGAAAAAGAACAAAGATTTCAGTAACCGCATATTTTTGTCTTCTTCTCTAAAAGCATTTTCTTTATGAGCCTTGCAATTCCATTACATGCACCAATCCCTGCTTGTATGGGAGACTGTATAAATTAATAAAACTTAATATTGCAATGCATAGTTTACCTGAAAAAGAACAAAGATTTCAGTAACCGCATATTTTTGTCTTCTTCTCTAAAAGCATTTTCTTTATGAGGTAACTAGGAAGTTTGAGCTGACTCCAGACTATTTAATCTGGTTCATATATTCTAAATGTATTTTAAATAGTGTTGTACAGGTTGAATGTCTCTAATCTGGCACCCTCAGCACCTGACCTGTGTCGAACCAGAGAATTTGGTGAACCACGGGAGGTCAATATTTTTTAGCATCATTACACTTTCACTCTTTATTGGGCTCTTAGAGGATGTTAAGGGGTAAATTAGAGCTATATAACATCACAGAACATTGAGAGTCAGGACTGGTGGCTGTAAACAAACTTTATGGGACCACAGAAAACTTGGGCATACCCATGATTAATGGAGATCCAGCTAACTAAAATTATGCTGCATTATGGTTTGGCTGTTGCCAGGCCAGAGAGGGCCAGACTAGAGAGTTTCAACCTGTAGGAATTATGCTACACTTGAAGATAAAAAATAGGTCAACCTGAAATACATAATAAAAAAGCTAATATGTAGTTTAGACTCGTATTTTTTTATTTCAAAGAATTCAAATGGTATTTACTCTGATTCGGGAAGAAGACAGGTAGGACACTGTAAAACTGTTTTAAGCACAAGCTGTTATTTGCATAATTTCAACTCAAAATACTAGGTTTAAATGCCGTAGCGCTCCCTTGTTCTTTTATCTCTCACCGAAAGTGGTCTAAGTGCCACTACATGGGATAGTGAACCATAGATCCTAGAGGTGTGTGGGTTACATATGCTTGTGCCTACTCTCCCCTCCCCTGTCCCCCGCTTCCCACACTCAATAAGGCAGACACCCAGGGCAGGCTACTCTTTGCTTTCTCCCACTTCTAAAACAACCAACTAAGCAGAATGTCAACACCATTATTGAACTGCCTCCATTCCTTACTTCATATGAGGGCTGAGCATAAGAAACTTTTGCTGTGCAAGTCATTAGAATCTACCCTTTTTCTCCACCTGCAGGGAATGCCCCATTTTTTGGCCTATCCATGGACCATGAACTCCCCCACAAACTGTAGTCCTCTATAGCCACAGCACTTGGACTGACCACATCCAAAAGACCTACCCATAAACAGCTTGGTCAGCTCGCACTCTCACCAACATGACAAGTTGACAAAAATGAAGGCTCCCCGCCTGAATCTCAGTTACAAAAGGTGCATCTACACTGCAGTGTTTTTCCACAAAAAAAAATACTTATGTCCACAGTGCCATTGAGTTCTTTTTGGAAAAAGGTGTGTATGGAGAAAATGGAGTTCTTTCGAAAGAAGAGGCCTCCAGGAAATAACAGAGGTGCCCTGGTGGGTACTCCATCCTCACTAATCACAACTTAAATACGAGATAGCCTCCAAGCAATGTGGCTGCTATATTTTAAAAAAGCAGATCGCTTTATTGATGAGCTTTTGCTGTGAAGATGCTCTCTTTTGAAAGACGTTTTTCCAGAAGATCTCTTCTGGAAAAGCTTCTTCTGAGAAAAGACTGCAGTCTAGATGTAGCAAAACATGTCAGATCCCCATATGACAGGTTATTCATTAATTCCAAGGACAAAAGGAAACATGTGATCATCTAGTCTGACCACCTGTAAATCACAGGGCAGAGGACTGCTCCAAAATAATTCCTAGAGCAGAGTTTTTCTCTTGATTCAGAAATTGTCAGGGATGGAGCACGCACAGGAGCCCATTGTAAATTGTTACACTGGTTAATTATCCACACTGTTACAAAATTAACTCTTTTTTAAATTAATAAAAAATAAGTTAACTTACTTGTGCATTTTCCACAAAAACATTCCATGATCACCATACACAGCAACATACCAATACACAGTAACATACAGACATCTATTGAAAGATAGAACATGATATTGTTACTACAACGTATCCTAAAACATGGAAGGTGTTTCTAAGTGTTACAGTTTTTGACTTGAACAATGATAGACTTTTTTCTCATTCTCTCAAGTACTGTTGTGTATCCTCAAACATGGAAGGTATTTCTAAGCCTTACAGTTTTTTACCTGAACAATGATAGACTTTTTTTCTCATTCTCTCAAGTACTGTTGTCTTTGCACTTTGACAGAGAATGAGAAAAAGTATATTTTATATGGAAAAACATAAAGGCATGCCTTCAGAGTCTCAGGGAACGTCTACACTAGCCCCCTAGTTCGATCTAGGGAGGCTAATGAGGGCAACTGAAATTGCTAATGAAGCGTGAGATTTAAATATCCCGCGCTTCATTAGCATGTTTCTGGGCATTCGCCATTTTAGAAATTGATTAGCCTGAAGTAACGGCCCACGTCTACAAATGGTAGTGAAATGGGATTCTGACTCAAATTGGAATGAGGAATTTAGTCTTCAAATAAGTTCTTGTTACATGGCAGGTCTTCCACTCTG